ATTATAGTTAGAGAGATGACGACCAAAATTTTTGTCTCATAGCAATACGGCCAAAACCGCCTCAAATCGATAGATACGATTATCCTGAACTCGAAAATACCAATATCAGACATTTTCCGCGTAGCGTTTGATCTGACCACAAAAACACCAGACAAAAAAAATGTCTCATAGCAATACGTCTGAAAACCTTTTTTATTAGTAAATTTTGGTTATTTGATGCGAACAAAACAATTTTCAGACGGAAATGTGAACGCATTAAATATTGAGATCGTTTTGAAAATGTTAACCAATTTTACCGATCGGTATCATGGCAATATGTCTGAAAATTGTTGGACATGATAAAATAAGGTGTCCACATGTGCAAAAAATGTATATTAGACAAAATAAGTGTAGCACCTTCTCTATCAGACAACTTTTCGATACTCAGATATTTTTGACACAGCAGAAATGGCCTCCCACGCAGTTGGTACATTTTCGACCGTTACTACACACCTAGTCGGGTTCAGAATCATACAATCTAACGATTTTATAGGAGTTTTGCCGTATTGCTATGAGACATGGTTTTGGTCGTCATCTCTCGTACTATTGCCCCACACTAGCATTTTCTCCTGTGTCGTGAGTGCGTTGACAAACATACAAGTTCACACACACATGACACCCAGACTCGGAACAACAATTTATGGATCACACAAGTTGTTCCGTGCTGGAATCGAACCCGTGTCACGTTGCGCGGCAGTCTTTTCCATCCACCGCGCTAAATGTACATTCATATTTATTCATGTTTTCTTTCAATGTACACTTTTTCTTTTTTCTTTCTTTCTTTTTTTCTTCTCTTTTGTTCGTCAACTTTTCTATTTATGAACATCTTTTAAAGTTTTCCTTTTTTTACTTTCCTTTTTTTTCTAGTAACTTTTAAGTTTAAGACAAATTAAGTAAAGATAAAATAAGTGTGGGAGAGCCATGCTTCGGCACGAATGGGCCGGCTCGACCGGAGTGATACCACGGCCGAGGAGAAAACCGACGTGAAAACCACTCTTGCATTATGTTTCGTCGTGTAAGTGAGGTTATCAAAGGTCCAATTACCCCTACCTCCCCAATCTCCCCAATCCCGGAATCCCCCTTAATCCTCAAATTCCTAATCCCCAAAAGGCCGGTAACACAATTATAACACCTCTGGTGTTTCGAGTATCCGGGCGGCGGCGATTGCTTACCATCAGGTGATACGTTTGCTCGTTTACCGGCTTATTCCATAAAACAATAAGTCATTCTCAATTTTAAATAAAATTCTATAGTTAGTTAGCAGTAAATGATTTATACGTACACACCATTGACTAAAGTCATAGCATAGATATCTTCACTGTTCATAAAAGTCGATGGTGGTGGACATATCGGAGTTAATTCTGTAAAAAATAATATTAAATTAACTAACTTGTCTGTTTAGGCACTGTCGGTCCGACCGACGAAACTATTATTACTTTTCTCGGTGAAGTAACATTATGGTAGACAATTATTTATTATTGGAAATTTGGATTGTTGTAGTGACATAACTACAATAGTTGGACATATGCTACCGCGGAGTTTTTTGTAGACATTATAATGTTCTTCAATATTGTTCTACATTATTTTGTTCTATCGCTAATAGTTTCGGCAGCGCATTCGACGAAAGACATTTTAAGACTCGTTTTCCTACACCTTCGGTTATATTGTTCCAATTTTATCAATCAAGGATCCCTAACTTTTTTCAAAATGAAATGTAGCTTATGTCAAATTGGAAGAATGTAGCA